CATGTGCTTTTGGTTTGGAAGCAAATTGTTTGAACAATTTTAAGGAAGATTCAATCTTCAGGGAAATGGGCAAAAAAATCTTCGAACCCACAACTTGGACATCTATCAATATAACATTAGTTACAGCAGTTCCAATTTTATCTAAATTTATAAACATAAGGTAAGCAGGAAAAGCCATCTAATCCAGACCCTGTGTAACTGCTTTGAAATATTTCTTGTTTCAATTACCTCAGTAAAATTTTCACAACCTGTCATAATGTTCAGTAATATTTTATATTTTCCTCTCAAATCAATTTCTATTCTTTTAGGTTTGTTCCTGAACTAGTAACAGATTGGATAATAAAAATGGTCCAGGACACAGTTCAATATCGAAAGGATAACAAAATCAAAAGAGATGATTTTCTGCAAAATCTTATGCAATTGCACGATCAAACAGATGGACAAAGTAAATTATAATAATTTATTTAAAAAATTAATAGAATCCTTATTTGTGTGTCAATTTTGTAGAATTTACAATGGAAGATATAGCAGCACAATGTACCAGCTTTCTTCTGGATGGATTTGAAACTTCAGGATCAGTTATATGTTTAGCTTTATACGAGGTAAAACATTATGATCAAAGTTACTGGTCAATCACGAAGCAAATATGCTGTTTATAGAAATTTTCTTTACAATTATAAAAAAAAACAATAATTAATTTTTTTATTTAGATTGCCAAAAATCCTGATGTCCAAGATAGAATGGTGAAGGAAATTGAAGAAGTGCTAAAAGGTCATGAAGATAAAGTTACTTATGATGCAATGATTGAGATGACATATTTGGATGCTGTTATTAATGGTAATAAAAAAATAAATGGGTCAGTATTTACCAAAAAAAAAACATATATTGCATCAAAATTAATTGAAAAATCTGGTAACGTAAAGATGGAAAAAGTGTTCTCATTGGTTTCTTGAAAAATTTTATAATTTTAATAACTATGAGAATATCCTAAACAAATAAATTTATATAGCATCTAAATAATTGATAATTTAATTCCACCAATTCATGATATATTTTAGAATCTATTACACCAAAACTTTCAGAAGTGCCAATTACCTTACTGGACAAGGCGTTTTGTTAACAGTAGTATTACTATTAATTTTATTATTATTATTATTTTAGAAACATTACGCAAATGGCCAATAGTAGCAGCCTTTCCAAGAACCTGCACCAAAGACTACGAGTTGCCTCCATTTGAAGGAGGCCCCAAAAGGGCAATCGGAATAAAAAGAGGAGACTCTGTACATGTAGCTATTGGATCATTCCACAAGTACAATAATTAATACATTATATAATCTGTACCAAATATCAATTAATAAATTATTTTATGGATGGTTTCCTAGGGATCCGCAGTACTTCTCCAATCCTGATAAATTTGATCCATCAAGATTTTTTGAAGGTTCTGCAGAAACTTTTACGAAAGATGCTTTTTTCCCATGGGGGGCAGGACCAAGGTAAATAAGTAATTGATTTTTGTAGGTAAATTATAGGCAAAATTTGTGCAGGTTGGAATAGTGGTCACAGATTAGAACTAAAGATTCTTTGTTGATCATAAAGTTCAGAAAAAAAGAAAATGAATTGGGTTCATAATTGAAAATTAAAAGAATTGGAGAATAAATAAAATTGTCATCATAGACCACAAAAAGTAGTTTTTATCAAAATTTAAAACCTGCTTTAAGTCAAAGCTTGTATTATCATCTAGGAATGAAGTACTCATGAAAAACTTCTAAATAAGAGTAGTTACCATTAAAGTTCACGACCAGCTTTTGATCAAAGATTTTTTATTACTATGGAATGAAGTAGTCATCATAGAAAACATCTAAAAAAGTAGTTTCCATTAAAATTTACCTCCGTGATTTTAAAAGTGTTAAAAAATTCAATCAAAGCTTTGCAAATCACCATTGGTCCTCATTCTATTATGTTTTTAGACTTTGCCTAGGCCAAAGATTTGCCTTCTTGCAAATCAAGACGAGTGTAATGGCAGTCGTGAGATCTTTCAAATTGAAAATTTCTGAAGGGAAGGATGCAGACCCTAAATTAGACCCTAGGAGCTTCATGCCAAGACTGGTTGGTGGTGCGTGGATTACTTATACACCGAGATAAAAGATGACTAATGGATTTAGGGCTTGAAAATTAATTTACTTTGTATTTATTTATACACAGCATATTCCATATAAATAAAGTATATAAAACCCATCCAAGTTGTTTTACAAAATCTTACAATCGCCAAATATAAAATACTAACCCAATATCATTTACCATTTACCATTTACCAAATCAGGAAATCGTGTCTCATATTGTGCAAATTAAATTCCTCGATCCATGTCAGTAACAGACTTACTTTTAAAATCACCTTTTAAAAATTGTAAACAAATCACTTTCGTTCGGCAAACATTTATTTCGGTCAGTGGGTGATGGAAATATTCAAGATTGCACCGATTATTATATAACGACGAGACGACAACTCCGAAAACTTGAATCGTAAAATTTAAGTAATTATTAAAACCGTATTAAGGTGTTTTCGCTTCGGGCTGTCGTTTGATAATGAAATTCGAATTACTCAATCGAACAGGTTTAAAGGAAATGAAATTTGGAAGGTGATAAAGAAATTGGAGGTGACATCTGTTGGAGATGGACAAAGTAGTATTGGGAGATGATTGGATGCTGAGATAAATATTGATGAATTTATCTAGCAAACATATATACTGTTGACTGTATCTTATATTATTTTAATTTCTGGCACATCTCAGCTGCTTTTCGGCAATAATAATGTAGACATTGCATTTTTCTTAAATATTACATTCTAATATTATCTAGGCTCATAATTTCAGCTAAATTCAAATTTCAAGTGAGTTGACATTTCTAGCAGATGAAAGTTCAAATGTTCTCAATGTCAAAAAATGATAAGTGGTTTTTTGTAATTTTTGCCATTTATTTGTACAATATTACTATAGTTTTATCTTTCATTAAATCTTAAAAATTTCCTTTGATAAACTCTAAAAAGAATTATCAAAATCCGAATAACCGTTTAGGAGAAGTATCACATCATACACCCGTACAGAAGAATTTTATATATAAGATGTAAATTTTAGATTTTTTGCATCCAAATTATCAAATAAAAAGCAATAAATAATTTAACAATTTTTCATATACGTTTCGACACTATATGCGTGTCATCATTCAGCATGTTAACGATTTCAAGTCGGAGAAAAAACAGAACAGGCAAATTTAAGAACATTTTTCAATGAAAAAATCAAAACTTTGTATATAATAAAATAATAATATAAAAATTGAATAATAAAAATAAGTTATTATTCACATGATAATCAAATTGCCTAAAATATAATAAAATTTACTATTGCCGGTGAGACAAAAATAGATTTTTTTTAAATAATAAAAATATGTATGAATATATAAATAATATATATTTATAATTATATATATTTATAATAAATATATAATTAACAAAAAAATGGTTATTGTTTTTTCTGGTGTGGTATGTATCAGTTTTTTACTTGTCATTTTATCTTTTAATCTATAATATATTTTAAATTTAAAATTTTTTTTTTTTTAAACTTTGTTAAAATTCTTTTAGATACTGTATAACCAAAATTTCAAAAAGGGTTGCTGAATGATGACACGCAATTCGTGTCGAAACGTATAAATTAATATTTTATTATTTAATTGTTTTCTTTTATTTTGACGATTGCCTGAAATTGTGAAATTGTGCCCCATGAAATCATTATTAGAAATATTTAGTAATGTTTAGTTCTAGCTATTATTAAAAAAACAATTAATGAGCAAAAAACAATTTTTGGATCAAAATTTGATAAAAATGATCAAAGAATCAGATTATATCGCCAGCGAAAAAGTAAAAAAATACCATCAGTCAATGAATGTATGTTCATTTTAATTACATAAAGTTCTTCAAACACAATTATTACATGATGAATGAAGTTGCGAAAAAAATATTTGTTTAGGCGTTGTTTAACATAATCCACTGTGTGAAAAAATATTATAGAATTTATTAATCAGCAATTACTTCATTTCTCTAATAAAGGTTTTTTTCTAAATGCTAATTACAATGACAAACCGATCATGTCGTATTTGAAATATGACTTTAATTACATTATTGTTTTTAAATATTATACACATTCTTAATGCTATTATATATATATATATATATATATATATATAATTTATAATTTATCATTATATAAATGTGTATAATGGTTGACACTAATAAATGCGTGCATCACGAGTGTTACCATATTACTAATAAACATTATTCAAAATTGTTATATGATGAATTTATTTTTACTTAACTGCCATCTTGAACAATAGCATATAAGTTTTACTTCAATTGCGTGTGAACCTTACGCGCACTCTTTTTTTAACATGACGTCTTGATTAATTTATGTTCTCAACAAATTCTTAAACTATATATTTTCATATGTATATGTATATTGTTACTAAATATACAAATCATTTAAATTTTTTTTATATGTGCGAGTTCGTCAAGAAACTAGCAATCATAAATGGGATCGCGAAGATCAAAAGTTTAGAAACCCCTGGTCTATAATTATATTTTAAAACTAGCATGGATTTCAGGCATTTTTTACACCTTGTAGTGGTTTCATTTGCCTGTTCATCAGGCTTATTTCTATCCCAATTCAGGCATATACCTAGACTAGGCTATCCCCTCCCAGGTGCTCTATGGCATACCGTTCCCTATCAGGTACATCGAAAACTTTATCAAAAACAGTTTATGTTCGAATTTCGAACCGCGCGCGTCGTCATGGTAAAATTAAATGTAAAAAAATTAAATGAAATAAAATAAATGTATAGTGAGATAAATTCTAGATTTTAAAGATAAATTTACAATTTTAGTGTATTAAATAATTTTATATAATATTAATATACAGTGGTTTTAGTTATTAGAAATTATAAATTAATTTAGTCGAGATTTAAAACTTTTGGTATGTGTTGTGTTTGATTTAATTGAAAAAACAATACAAGAGGAATAATTGTTGCTCTTTTTGCAGAGTCAGGTATGTTTATAAATTTTATATTTTATAATTTATAAATATATGTATATATATAGTTTTGGGTAAAATATTGTTAATAACATTTAGAATAATTAATATATCAATATTATATAATATTTTTTCATATATATATATTATTTGTATTGATATTATTAATTTCTTATGAAATTTATTACTTGTGAGAAAAATCAAAGAAAAATAAATAGTGTTAAATAAAACCTATTATTAAATTATAATAATTAAAATATATAGAATACCTATTTACATTTTCAACTAGGGATCACTTTTAGCTTGAAAGAAAAATTAAGTGTGTTCTCATCCCAGATTAAAAATTAATTTTTCAGTAAAAATTAATTTCCAAGCAGTTATTTGGCTCACTAGTTTGTTTATATTTTTCATAATTTATAATTATGTTATTCCGAACCGAAGACAAAATTAGATTTTACTGTTTTTGTAAAAAGTACTATTTCAATTTAGAACTATTTTTATCATTTGATTTTTTAAGAATAATGTGCAATATAATATATTTTATATTGCACATTTTATATATTAAAAAAATTTACTTATCGATTATTTTGCATCATTTTAATTAAACAGTCCACTATTAAAAAATAAGTACAATAATACGCAGTAAATAAAACTATATGTGGCCCTATTAATTTTCAACATTAAATAGTATACATTTAAAAATAATCTGTTTTTTTTCATAATAAAATTTATAATAAAGTCAAAATTAGATCTTTTTCTGTTTATAATAAGTACTATTTTTTAAAATCTATTTTCTTTATTTGATTTTTTAAGTAAAATATGCATTTTAATTTTTTGATAAAACAATTTTACTGTCGATTATTTTGCGTTAAAATTTATTTTTTATTGTTTAGTATTGAAAAATACAAATAATAAAATGTAGTAAATGCAATTGAATAATGAATATAATATATAAATATAATCTTAATATTTTAATCAAATTCTATGTGGCCATATTAGTTTTCAACATTAATAGTAAATGTATTACATATTTAAAAATAATTTAATTTTAATATGTTTCATTCGTAATGAAATATTATTATATTGAATTTTGAATACAAATTTAATATATTCCAAGAACAATCAATTTAATATAAGAAAATATAGAAAACTATATAATGTTGTACACGATTTGAAATTATTTGGCAAATTAGAATATAAAATTCTAGAACACTTAATTAAATCAATTATTTCATAGATCATTTTAAATATATGCAATTTTTATATCAAATATTCAATTTGAAAATTTCATATATTTTATATCATATTATGCAATTTTAATATTTCACATATACAATTTTTATCGATTTATGAATTTTACAATTATTATTTAATATATAATATACCGATAAAATTCCCAAAATCTATTTTTAATTAAGAACCAAATAAGTGAAATAATTTTAAAAAATTGAGTTTTATTAAAGGCTAATTCGTAACTATATTTTATTTCTACGATATTAAATTTCTATTCTTTAAATTATGAATTAAATAAATATATAAATTATATTTATTATTTCTTTCAATTACTTTGCTCTCAAACTGTCACGAAAGAATTTAATTATATATTATTCGGTGTACTATTATTGAATTTAACAAGCGGAAAAATAATTTAGCAGATTGATATATCACCATGAACTAATTTTTTTAATAAAATATTGTTAAATATATCACAGTGGTTTAAATTTTCAGAATATTATTCAAAAAAACTTAGTTAAACTTAGACTTAGAACATTTTCTATATATTTTTCCCTTGCAATATTTTTCTGCAAATAGCAATTTTTTCTGAAGATGATACAAATTTATAAAAATTTTAACGTAAAAAATAATCAGCTCACGTTACCCGTTTTTTTTTGTTTATTTGCTGGATATCAATATCCTCTCTTCAGAGAAGATTAAATAAGTTTCTTCCAGTTTCCGTCTCTTGCATAGATAATTCTCTCACGTTTTTTCGCAATTTTACACTTTATTTATAAAACCAATTAATGCGATTTCCAATTGATATTTTTTAACATTTAATATATGCAATTTCATTAATTTTAGTACATTATATGCCCTAAACGCTCTGATCATTATTCTAATCTTTAATGAAATTTTATGGCTCAACTATAGGACTACAAATGTTTTGAAATATCCATTAAGACTATAATATTTGTTATATAAACTCTGTGGCTAAGAAAATGTTTAATAATTAATTTCAAAATGGCCCAACCAATCTTTAGCAAAAACTAATCAGCATGAGTTAAAATTTAAACGGTTTTTAAATTTTCAAAATTGGTTCAATACTTTTGTATCGAATCATACTACTGTCAAAAAAGTGCGAAAATAAATAAAATTAAATAATACTACATATTTGCCCTTTGAGAAATATAATGTTTAATAAATAATTAATTAATTAATTAATTAATTAATGAAATTAATTTTGCAAAATTTTGTGTGTTTATGAGCTTCTACGTTCTTCAGAAGAAATTTAAGACTTTTTCCGCGAATTGTTTAAGCAAATATTAAAGAGACATGTGTCTAATGTTTATTTAAATATTAAATTATTTATTGTGCAAATACATGCCGTATAAAAATACTTGTCATGAGCCTCAAATAAACAAATTAATTTCTTTTTTTGTCGAGTATTTTAAAAATATTTGAAAAACAGTTTCTGGACAAAACCATTAGCTTCAAACATTCAGAACAATAAAAAATATTTAATGAAATTGTTTTTCTGACAAATCGAAAATGCATAGAATATTATTGATAAATAACAAGAATTGTATCGATTTGAATTCAAACTAGTTATTTTTTTTAACAAAGCTGAGGAAAATTATTTATAATGCAGTATTGTAATTTTACTGCATTGCTTCTTCATTGAAGAAATAATAAAACGTAATTTTTAATTTAAAATTAGTCAATTTTGTCAGTTGAAAACTATATACTACAGTTTTTTTCGAAAAAAAAAAAACAGGAATGTATTATTAACTTTTCCTAAATTGAATATGCTCATATAATAATTGAAATATTTTTGGGATATATTCAGCTTTGGCTGTACTAGAACAATATTTTTGTCAACAAACTTAGAAAATGGTACAAACCCTAAGTCAGAAAAAGTGGATGTGGGTGAAACCGATTTGATTGATCCAAAAAATATTCGATTCTTAATGATGGGTAGAAGTGGTGATTAGATTTTGGAAAAGGCAGGTCCAGCTATTCCGGAGAATTAAAAAACTTTCTGCTTGTGTTGACTAAACGATTGCTCTTGGTAAAAGATTTTTTTTTCAAAAAATGTTTTTCTTGAATTCGGATTTTAATTCTAATTCTAGCTAAAGTTGTAAATATCACTTGTAATACTTCAAATAATTATAATAATCTATTTGAATACATTTAATATTTCTCGAATATTTCATTAAGGTACAGGAAGTTCCAGCAGTTTGCCTTAAGGCACGATGCCATACACCACAAGTTTAATTTTTTTTTCTTGAGGAATTTCATTTGAAACTTCTTAAACAAAGACTATTTTTTCTCATATTTAAATTGAAATCATTGATAACTGCTGTAAAGGTTTTAGAAAAACTTCATAATTATTTTATGGTGGAATTTTTAGTTTTTAGAATCTCACACTATTATTTTGTTCCCATCGATATAATATTATCGAACCTTCCTTATACGGTATCGATTATATCGATAAACAATCGATAATTCTCATAACAAACGAAATTTGAGCCCGAGGCGTTTTGTAGAAAGTAAAAACGTGCTTCATATTAAATAAAGAAAACAATATCGTTTTCACCTGACAAATTAAATGTGTTTTATCGATTAAGAAAGCAGATTTAGAAATTCTGTCATGGAAATAGATAGGCGATAAAAAAGAATCTTAATTTGATATTTGATAATAATGGCCGATTTGCGTATTTTATTATGGCTTTGTTATTTAAATTTTTATTTGAACGAGAGAAAACTGTCTTGGATGAATGTTGCGTAAAAAATATTATTACATCCAAATATTGGAACTTCATATTCTTGAGCTTATTTATCTTATTTATTTAATAATAAGTTAAAATACCTGCATTTAATCTTGAACAGAAGTATACCTATCATGATTTAATAATAGAAAAATCTAAAAAATATACAAAACTGTTGTATGACTAATTATATGCAACATATATTTCATACAATAAAAATTATATGACTTGAATCCAATATCTATATAAATGTTCTAAGTTAAGTGGTACCAAAAAGTGTGTCTTGTGGAACTCCTAGCTCTATGTTTCTAGTACATCGATATGTGGGCGCAAGAAAATTATTAATTTTAGATATATTTTTAGTCTCTTAAGGTACATTGGAGTTTTGCAATAAAATTGAGTATATTCTCCCCCTGTCTCACCTAAAACAAGCAATTATAATATAGTGGCCGGAAACTAATTGACACAAAAAGTCGACTGGCGAACTCGTTCATCCTGTTTTATGTACATATTATCGTTCGAGTGAATTAAATATCGATCACAGGAACTCGACAATTCAGAAACTTACACGAAAGAGAGAAGATCTTTTTTTGAGATTTGATCTTAAAAAAAATTGAACAAGATTTTTTTAATACACAGAAAAGAACTCTACCGAATCACTACAAGAACAGAAATTATAAACTAATTTTGGCAAAATGCTTTTTTGAATTTTGGTAGCAAACTATTCAAAATGACTTGGGCATAAAATTAGCAATTTCTAGAAAGTGAATAATTCCGACAAGATCTTAAAATAACAATTATTAATATGTTTATGAATAATTTCTATATCCTCCTCAAGCAGGAGGAAATTGCAATTAGTGTTTTATGTGTGGTCCAGAATCGTTGATGCAAATATAAAACTTTAGTCTGTATGTATGTTAAATTTAAATATAGTATTAGTCATTTTACAAAGAACCTAGGTGTTCGTACGAGAGATTATTAAACTGGTTTCTCACGAATATTCTCGGAAGGAAATTAAATAATACAAAA